ACCTGCCAATACAGCGCCAGCACGGAGCCCTGAGCATGAGGGGAGAGCAGGCCGGCCGCGGTGTGCTCGTGCTCGTGCTCACACTCCCAGCCCAGCCCAGCCCCAGCTTCGCTCTCTAGACCTGCCCCCAGCAGGCTGCTCACTTCTTAATTAGATTTTTTTAAACAAAAAGCGAAAGTATTTGTTAAAATCCATCGGATTAAACAAAGGTGCTGAGCTGACTGTGAAGGGAATAGGAAATGAAAGCGACTCACCCTCTGAGGGAGAATTTTGTCAGCCATCTTCCTCCTCTTGGCACTGTACATTTTTTAAAGAAAAAAACACGTTACCATGGTGACAGATCTAGGAGTAACGAGGCCACCTGCTAAATTATCCTGACATCTCCACATGCTGGTGCACAGCTGTGCAGGCATTGGCAAAAGGGTCTCACCCATGCCCCATACCTGGGACCCCCACTCCCCATGGCCGGGGGACGGCCCAGAGCAGACCCAGGCTGCCTGTAGGCTCTGAGGAACGAAGCCTGCGAGTTCCTGGACCAGCGGCCTTCTGCTGTGCAGAGCGGCACTGCATGTGTGTCTGCACAAGCGCATGCCTTCCATGTGGGCAGGGGGGTGCGGGCAGCCACGTGTGCACGTGCAGGTGTGTGTGCATGCACATGGCTCTTCATGAGTGTCTGTGGCTTGACCATGAACATGCTTAAGCAGCTTTACATGTCTCCATGTTTATGCACGTCCATGTGAGTGCATGACAACACACATGGCTGCATGTGTGGGTGCATATTGTGTCTGGCAATCAGCACATGGGTGGATGCACACCTGTGACTGACGATGGGGTGTGTGTGCGCGTGCGTGTGTATACACAGAAGGGGGTGCACTCTAGCCACAAGTATGCGTCTCCATGCAAGGGTGCCCAGGCACACACTCCCCTGTCTGCACATATCTGTGCACAAGCCATGGTGCTGTTCCAGGAACCCAGCCCAGGCATCATCCCTGGAGCCTGACACGGCTGGTGCCCAAAGTCTTTTGCTGTGGGGAGGGGCCCGCAGCATTCCTGCCCTCCTCCCATTCTCTCCAAAGGCCCCTTACGTCTCTTTCTAAAGGGCCCCATTTCACCCCGTTTTCACACTCACTAGTGATGTGCGTACACCCCTTTCCCTCCTACCCTCTCCCAGTTATAACCAGGTCTCACACAGCAGCTTCACGTGAGCCTAGGCCTGAGGCTACATGTGTGTGTGGAGGGAACTACTGCTACCTCCACTCTCCCAGCCCTGCTAGGGTCTGGTCCAGGGCAGTTGTGTGCGCGCGCACACACACACGCACACACACACACGCCATGTGGGCAGGGCAGGGACCTGAGGAAGCAGGGGAATGGTAAAGCTGGGCCATTTCATGACAGGAGGCTTGGTGCCAGCTGGTAGGCTGGGAGGGAGCAGAGATGCGAGGACCCAGAGCCATCCACAGGAAACACAATTAAGAGGGAGAAGGCAAAGGCAAGGAACAGGCTAAGTCCCAGCCTAAAGGAAATTGGGGCAGGTACTACAGCTCCCCTGTCTTGCCACAGCCCACTAGACACCTGGACTTTACCACCCCTGCCTGTATCATGCCTGCCAGTGCAGAGACCCTTATTCCCTACCCAGACCCTGCCAGAAAAAGAGTGCTATGGGCCCTTAGGCCTAGCCAGATGCAGTGGGAAATTTGGCTCTGGAAAGCAGAGCAGCTTTCCAAGAAGGGCAGGGACTCCTCAGAGTAACACAGGCAACAGCTCCAGGGAGAGGAGACACGTGGAGGGAGTGGGGCAAGTGAGGTGGCTGCTGGTATCCCTGGGCACGGCTGCAGGGGGTCGGGTACACTCCCTGCAAAGGGATCAACACAGGGCTGGAAACCAGAAGCACCAGGTGGATCAGAAAGCTAAGGAAAGGTGCTTCCTGCTGCAGCTGGGCCAGCCAGCTCTCCGGGGACAAGCGAATTCCCAGAGGGTAAAGCCCTGAGAACAGGTCAATGCCCCTGGATACCAGTGCGTGCAGCAATTGGGACAGGGTGGGGGGAAGAGGGGGAAGTGGAGGGGATGCTCATGGGCTAGCACCAGGCACGGCCATCTGACACGCAGCCACGCCAAGCCCACACACCCTCCCACAGCATTTGCTTGGAGCACACTTGCACACACATAGCACTAGTGCCCTTTCTGGATGTGCCCTTATGTCCAGATGTGCTGAGACACACTGGAAGTTCACTAGCTGCTCCAGTGCATCCAACTTGGACCTAAAGGAGCTCCAGGGGAGCAGTTACAACCTGTAGCCAGATGTGCTGTACCCTCAGTGCACTGTTTGAGCTGGCAAGCACACGCAGCGCTTATGCTCCAGATGTGTAGGTGCTCCAGGGGAGCAAGCCCCAAGCAGTTACTGTTTGCAAACCCAGCCTGGAGAAACCAGCTCAACAATTTGCAAATGAAGGGTCTGCTGAGCAGAATTATAAGCCATTATAATGCTGCTGTAACAGACTATGCTGCAGTGTACAACAGCGTGTAAACTCTTATGAACTGGGCTGGGCATGAGGTTAAAGATGGGTAACTTCTACCAGAAAAGACAAAGAAAACCAGCTCTAATAATTTTCTGAGGATTCCACCAATGATTTAATTTGTGAGAACAATTGTGGAAAGTGAAAGCCTCATGAATCCTCATGCAAATGCATTTTGCCTTAAGGATCCTGGCATGAATATTCATGCGACCAGGCTGAAATCTCCTCAGTTTACCTCCTCTTGCTCATAAGCAAATGCAGGGAGCCAGTCAGCCAGCAGAAACATTACTAGGCTGATCAGCCAGTCAGGTGACCAATCAAGGTGCAGTGTGAAATCAAAGTTGAAAGCAGAAGTCAGGGAACAGTCTGTGGCTGGAAAAGACCAGGCCCTGCACCCAGGCCAGGCAGGCTTATGGCCCCCAACAGCTTGCTCCCACACAACTCAAGGCTTTGCTCAGACAATTCAAGACCAAAAGACAGGGCAACACCTGCTGAACACGGTCTGCACGGCCCCTGCTCCCGTCGAGGGAGAACGGACATGTCTGCTCTGTGTCTTTCTGCCCGCTGCTTGCCCGGGCAGGAACCCGATTCTCCGGCCCCCTCCCCAGTGCTCACCTCCTGGTGCGGCTCTGGGTTGCCTGCTGCTGCTGCTGCTGCTGCACTTGCTGCTGCACCTGCTGCTGCTGCACCTGCTGCGGCGCCGTGCGCTTCCGTGTCGGCTCCATCACGGCCTGGGGCATCCCGGGGCGCACTGAGGGGCTTCCCACGTAGGCAGGGCCTGGGGGACCCATTGGTGCCCCTTGATGGGGCATTCGAGCACCCGATGGCATCCCAGGACGCTGCAGAGGGAGCGAAACAGAGAGAAATGCTAGGTGAGTTGCTGCTACTGCAGCAGCAGTGGTGCTGGGGTGCAACGAGCCCTTGTCCCAACGCCAGGACTGGCGAGGTCCCAAGCTTCGGCTTTTCTGCCCAGCCATGGACTCAGTCCTGGCACTCCCTGGTCCTCAGAGGTGACCCCAACAGTAGGGTGGGCCAGTGACGGTGCAGGAGAGGCTGGTGCTGGGAAGACACCGAGAGCACAAGTGACAGTGACAGTCTTGGCCTTGCTACTGCAGCACACAGTGCCGGGGCTGACCACAAAGGGCACAGGAGCCACGGCTGGCCCAGCTGTGGCCAAGCCTGTAGCCAAGGGTAAAATGCAGGGGAGAAGGGCAAAGCGCTTGCCTCGAGGAGCTGCCAGGGGTCAGCACGAGAGCATGAAGCAGCAAGAGGGAGTCCATGGCACTAGGCCTCTTCTGAGAGCAGAGGAGCCCAAGGGCTGGGCAGCATCCCCCTCAGCATCCAGCAGTCCCATGGCAGAGGACCGGTCCAACAATCAGCTCGATGCAGAACCGGATCCAGGATACAGTTGGTCCTGGCAGCAAGATGCTAATTGTCCTTGGGAATGACCACAACCCATGAAGCAACCCAGCCTTTACAATGCACCACGGGGCACAGAGAGGAGCTCAGTGGGCACCTCCACACGATATACTTGAGTTGGGGCATTTTATCCTCATTTCCCCTGAGCTATGGACTAGATAACAGAGCCCTTGCACCAGCCACAGGCACTGGGCAGGGGTTGACACCAGCAAACCAGCCACATGACCCAGCTCTGTGGCCTGGCCAGGCAGCAACTGCCCCAAGCTGCCCAGCCTCCTCACGAGGCCAAGGGCAGTGCTGGTCCCAGTCACAGGCGCAGGGCCGGAAGGGACTGCCAGGCATGCAGTCCAGCCCCTGCCCTGGGGCTGGCAGTGCTGGAGGGGCGGATGGACCCCGGGGGAGGGGAGGGGTGGAAGCCACAATGGGCAACTGTGGAGTGGAGGAGGGTCCACTGCAGAAGGCCATTAACTGCTGACAGCAGGTGGAGGAGACGGCAGCCAAGAGGGGGGCAAAGAGGGGACAAACCAGCAGCACGGAGGCCATGGAACAGGGCCAGAAATATCTTCAGCTGTCCCGGCTTGTCCCTGCGGCACAGCCACCGAGGCGGTGCTGACAGCTGCCCGGACACGCCGGCTCCTTCCCCGCTCCTCCCCCAGCCCAGGCCTGGCCACAGCCCAGTCACAAGCAGCAAGTGGCTCAGAAAACCCTTCGCAAGAAGGCCCCGAGTCGGGTCTCCTGTCACCTGTCAATCCACCAGCCATGGCCGCCTTCCAGCCGGGACCAGGCCGCAGGGAGGGCAGCGGCCCCGCTGCCGCCTCAGCTGTCCCACACCCACCCTGGGATGCTACCTGGCGGGGGGCACCGTCTGCGGCCGCTGCGTGACCAGAGGGCCTGGGGCAGTGGCCGACCCTGCTGCTGACCAGCTTTACCCCTTTGAGGGCCTGGGAGCTGCCCCCTCTCCAGCCGTGCTGAGGGGGCGTCACACCAGCAAGCAGGAAACAGCTGCGCTGGAAAAAGGGCAAGTCCCTGGTACCCATGGCCCCTGCTCTACCTGTTCTTGTGCCCCACTTCCCCTGTTCTTTGCCCTCCTGCTCCCAGGCCTGGGTCCTTCCTGTCTGCGCAGCCCTCGGACCTGGCACGACCGCCCCTCCAGGGTGCTCAGACCCCTCCGTGACTGGCACGAGGGTGACCAGGCTCCACAGCCCACGAAGAGGGAAGGGCCGGGCCCTTCCTGGGATTCCCCCACGCACCCGGTCCCCTCTGCGCTCTGAGCGCCCATCACGCCTGGGCAAGGCCGGGCCGCAAGCAGTGCCACGGCCGCCCCAAAGGGCAGCAGTGCCCAGGGCAAGGCCAGGCGCACAGCAGCTACCGTGACCTGCAGAGACACGTGCCGCGTATTGTGGGCAGCAGCAGGATGAAGGGAGGGAAGGGTAAAACAAGAGTGAACGTGAGGGAACCCTGCTTTGGGTGAGACGGGCCTGACTGCGAGTCTCCCCCTTCCCCCCGGAGAGGCTGGAATCAGGGCTGTGACGAGCAAGGGGAAGGGATCTGCAGGCAACCTCTCCCCCCTGGACAGCTATCACTGCAATGTCATCAAGTTTCTAGTGGAGCTGCCAAGTCAGGGTCCGTGCTCCGGCTCCGGCTCTGGCTCCTGCCCCGAGGGGCCTTGCCTGCTGCCCAGCTCAGCAGCGAGTGCTCCTGCACTCCCCTTCCCAGCGCTTTCCCATGCCCCGTCACCGGGGTCCAAGTATTCCATGATCCCACAGCTGTGGCATTTGCTGCAGACTCCACCCACGGCTGCACACTGTGCGTCGCTATCTAACCACCCTCATTTGCCAGACCCGGCACAGCTCATGTCTGAAGCCCAAACCTTGACTGCAACCTCTCTGAGGCAGTGACCCACTTTCTTCTGGGAGTATGTGCACAATGGGGCCCCAAACCTTGATGGAGGCTTCTAGGCACAGGCAACTGGTAGGGAGGCACGGGGGGCACATGCCCCCCCTGAGATCAGCCCCCAACTCGGCACCGCTCAGGACGGGGCAGTTTTCTTGCCGTGCAGGCCAGCGGTGTGTTGGGGGGGAGCAGGAGCACAGATGCATGTGGTAGCATAAGCTCAGACTGCCTGGCCCAGTTCTCCATTTCGTTCCTGGAGCCGAAGGCTGGAATCGGAGTCACAGAATCCTAGAGCTGCAGGGCTGGCAGGGAGCTCCGGAGGTCACATCTAGTCCAGCCCCTGCCTGAGAAAGGATCAGCCCTGTCCAAACTGTCTCTGTCTTTCCTCTTAGCACAATTAGTCACCCCTGGCACAGCACCAGACATCACACCCCAACCTGCCGCAGTGAATGCAGGGGGACCGCGGTGGCCAACATCCAGCTTCTATACCAGGTTGTCAATATACATTCCAGAAATCCCAGGCTGATACTATGTTCGCACTACAGAGGAAGGCAACCCCCCCCCCCCCCCCCC